GCTAATTAAATTTGGACAATGCTCTCCCAAAGCCTGATTATTTATATTACTCTTTTATAAGGCAAAGGAGCAAATCTTTGTTATTACCTAGTACCCATCCCAGAAAACCCAAAGATAGTTTAGATATAAAAGGCGACTTTCATTGTCCAAATTTAGAGCATGAAAAGGAAAGACAAAGTTAAGAATTGTCTGATGAGACAGGACATGAATGTAAGTCCTACTTTTTTAAAACACAAAATATGTTTATTTTAAATAATGTTTTAGAACCATAGCAACAAGCACTCATTTTTAGGGACTTTTTGAGGAAGGATCATTCAGGTGTTTACCAGAAGTACAGAGCTGACAGAATATGCTGGTGATAAAAAGCAAACTATTAGCATAGAATAACTTGAGCCTTATATAAAAAGCAAGCTTTGCTTGTTTTTTATATCCTCTAAATAACATTTTTGTAGCAAAGGATTCATAAGCCTGTTTTTCATGAATAAGTCCGCTAATATTGAATATACCTTTAATTTTTTTGCCATGTATACTTCCTTTAAGGTTATAAATGGCATTAGAGTGTATATATATTTTTTTAAAGATTTTGTGCATTTGGCACAGAGAGAGAAAGAGTGTGCACACTAGCGCGCAGAAGCAGGGGATGTGGCAGAGGGAGAGGGAGCTGATGAGAGGCTCGATCTCAGGACCCTGGAATCATGACCTGAGCCGAAGGTAGACATTTCACCGACTGAGCCACCCAGGCGCCTCTAGAGTGTGTATTTCATCTACACATTTACTTGGAAATAATTTATTATATGATTCTTCTCAGTTGGAACAATACTGTATTTTTCCATTTTCTCTCTTTTTTGAAAACTATTTTTTCAGCTTTATTGAGATATAATCAATATATAACAATGTATAAGTTTAGGGTGTACACCATGTTGATTTGATACACATATACTGCAAAACAACTACCATGATAAGGTTAATGTGATCATCTCACATAGTTACTTTTTTTTATGTGTATGTGCTGACAGCTTTTAGGATCTGCTCTCCTACAACTCTCAAGTATACATTCAATACAGTATTGTTAACTATGTATAGACTTTTTTTTTTTAAGATGTTATTTATTTATTCATTTGACAGAGAGAGAGAGAGCGCACAAGCAGGGGGAGCCGCAGAGGGAGAGGAACAAACAGACTCCCCACTGAGCAGGGAGCATGATACAGGACTTGATCCCAGAACCCTGGGATCATGACCTGAGCTGAAGTCAGATGCTTAACCACCTGAGCCATCCAGGTGCCCCATGATGTATAGACTTTTTAAAAGTTCATTTTAATATTCATTTATATGTATGTATTTAGATAGTTTTAGTACATAGCCATGTTAATAGAATTTATGTTTAATTAGAGGCTTAGTATTACTTTTAAGATGTAATTAATCTGAATAGCCTATTAAATAAACCATACATGTATCTTTTTAAACTTAATATACCATGTGAATGCTCCCTGCCATTTAATACACCTCTAGAGCAGCATTTTAAATGGGTTCACGATATTCTGTTATGCTCTGTCTTTATTTGTCTATTTCTTGGTTGTTAGAGGCAGTTTAGCCAAGGTTGTTGAAAGCAAGGTCTTTGGAACCAGACTGCTTTTTCTCTGACACTTACTCTCTCAGCAGAGAGAGTAGGCGTGGTAATAATACATATTTCATAGGATTGTTTTGAAGATTATGAGTTGATTTCTGTAAATCACTTAGAACAGTGTCTGGCACGCAGTTATTATGTTAAGTGTAATGATTTTTTTTTTTTTTTTTTTTGGTAATGTTGGATGCAGCTTGACTGTAAAGAAACATCATAGTGAAAGTTCATTTACTCATTCAACAAATATTTATTGGGAATCTACTCTGTGCCAGATTCTGCTCTGAGGTGAACCAGTAAACAAAACAAACGCTCTTGTCCTTATGGAGTTTATATTCTAATAGGGAAAGAAAAACAATAAAAGATAAATGTAGTAAATAGCATATTGTATGGTGACAAGTACTATGGAAAAAGAAAATGAAAAAAAGGGGTAAGTGGAGAGTTACAGTAGTCAGTTGAAGGCCTCATTGGGAAGATGACATTTGAGCAGAGTTAAAAAGATTAGAAGTGGCTCTGGGGAGGGGCACCTGGCTGGCTCAGTTGGTAGAGGGTCAGGATCTCAGGGTCAGGATCTCAGGGTCAGGGTCAGGAGTTCAAGCCTCACATTGGGTGTGGAGCCTACTTATGAATAAAGATTTTTAAAAAACGAAGAAGAGGAGTGGCTCCGGGCAAAGAGCCTTCCAGCAGAGGCCTAGGTGACCTGCTGAAGACAACCGTGGAGTTGAGTGAGTGGGCAGAAGGGGTGAGTGAGGCAACTGGGGCCAACCATTGAGGGCCCTTGTAGGGACTTTGGCTTTAACTCTGAGTGAAATGGGGAGCCTTCTCAGGGTTTTTGAGTGGAAGAGTGAACTGGATTAACTTTAAAAATTTCCTCAAGAATAGATTTTAGGGGACAAGGTGAGAGAGAAAAGTACCAACAAGTCTGGGTGGGAGGAGGGGTTGATGGGATCAGGGTGCTAACAGGTAGTGAGAAGTGTAGAATCAAAGAATTTAGGGAAATTAGCTTTATGTCCAATTTTAGTATGTGCTGCCTAAGCGAGCACTAGCTTTATGTCCATAAAAGGACAGTTTTGGTGATAGAATTGACAACTAATAGCTTAATGGTATGTGAGGGGACAAAAAACTCATTAAAAGAGTAAAATAAAGACAGGAGTTCCAGGGACTATCTCAATATAGGAAAAGTAGTAGTAAATGTACCAGGAGCTCCTATATTTCATTGTAAGACAATAATTCATGTTTATAGAGATGTCCCTGAATCATGAAAATAAGGAAATTCCACACATTTTTAAAGCAAATAAGTAGATAGGGGAGGTTTTGTGTATGTAATAGTAACTAATATTTTTTGGGTAGTTTTAATCACTTGTGTATAGATCCCACTTACGAAAGTTCAAACAGTGCCTTGTTTTAATCTGCACTAACCAAGAATATGAAGTTGAATTGTATTTGCTGCATTTTGATCTCCCTTCACTGCAATTACAGCATGACTTAGTAGGTGCTTTTGTGATTTTGTTCAATGGGGAAAACCAAGACCTCATTGTGAACTGGATGTCAGGAGCTGCTTTTCCTTTTTTTAGCTCTTGCTGAAACTAAGACCTTCAGGAGTGCAATACCTGGCTGAGAAAAGCAAGCCAAGTATTCTAGAAACATGTTATTTCTGAGCCAACTGCCTTATATATGATTATAAGCTGTGAATGAAGAATGAAATTATTATATTCATTGAGATCTACTTATTAAGATAAAGTAGTTTTTAGGCTAGTTTTGTTTTAAATGAGAATTTTAATGCTTAAAATAAGAGTACATTTTGGTCACTTAAAAATTTAACAAAATAGAGGGGTGCCTGGATGGCTCAGAGGGGTAAGCCTCTGCCTTCAGCTCGGGTCAAGGTCCCAGGGTCCTGGAATTGAGCCCCACATCAGGCTCTCTGCTCAGCAGGGAGCCTGCTTCCCCCACTCTCTCTGCCTGTCTCTCTGCCTACTTGTGATCTCTCTCTCTGTGTCAAATAAATAAATAAAATCTTCAAAAAAAATTTAACAAGATAGAAAAATACTTTCTAATGATGCTGAATGAATAAAACACATTTGTGTTTATATGATGTGAGTTACATGGGAGAGATGTCTATATGTCTGCAAAGGGAGAGTTCAGAATTTTCGGGCCTGTTTGTCAAGCTGTGGGTTTAACAGGAAAAAATCTGTTAGGAAGCACAAATGTAGTGAACGGACTCATAGTTTGGAAGGCGTCTATGGTAGAAAGAGACCTGAACTTAGAAGACAATTTAATCACCTCAGGTGTATTTCTCATCTATAAAATGGGGATATTAATACCTATAAATAGTAATGCTTCATAGTTTCTGTACCAAATGATGGCAAAGTATTATTAATGCCATTAAAAATCTTAATTCCATGAATTAAAATACCTTCTTCTGGTGATGTCAAGCCTTTTGTTTCCTGATTTGTAAATTGGACAGTTTCACAGTGATGTTAGAGACAGTAACTTTTTTTTTAAAAAGATTTTATTTATTTATTTATTTATTTTATTTATTTATTATTTATTTATTTTATTATTTATTTTATTTATTTATTAGAGTGAGACAACAAGAGAAGGAATACAAACGGGAGTGGGAGAGGGAGAAGCAGGTTTCCTGCCGAGCAGGGAGCCTGATGTGGGGCCTGATCCCAGAAGTCTGAGAACATGACCTGAGCTGAAGGCAGACACTTAACAACTGAGCCACCCAGGTGTCCCGAGACAGTAACTTTTTAAGCTTTCAGTTATTTTAGTAGTCTAGGATGTTGTGAGTAACTTTTTGCTATGGTTACCAATAGTTTTGGAAAGGCATTTTATGCATTCATTTAGCACATTTTACAGTAATTAAATTCTTTATTTGTAACATCAGTTTCTCATTTTGGGTTGTCCAAAAGCAGACTGGACGTATTTGGTTGTAAGTAGTTTATTTGGCAGGCAGTCAGAGAATGCAATAAAAAGTATGTGGAAGTGGATTACCCCTGAGGGCGACTGGGCTGTCATCCTGCAGGGACGTCTCTGCATGACTGGGTGGAACATGCTGTGGAATTGTCCCACTAAGGGCCAGGGGAGCCAGGATTTTTATCCACTGTCGGTTATTTGGAGGGTGTGAACCACCTCCCTGGCCCTTTGGGCCTGCCCCACACAGGGGCCTGCTCTCGTGACCAGAAGCATCCTTGGGCAGAGAGCTGTAGGCAGTGTAAGTGGTAGGTGTGGGGACTAGGCAAGGCTGAGGGGACAAAGTTGCTTTCTTCTGAAACATTGTGTTACAGAGGCAGACTATATCCTCCAGTGGAAAGCTTGATTAACTTTGGTAACAAGTGCCAGACATCACCCCTGTTTGATATGTGCTCTTTCTCCTTAGGATTTTCTGTTGCAGCAGACCATGCTACGAATTAAGGATCCTAAGAAGTCATTGGATTTTTATACTAGAATTCTTGGAATGACGTAAGTAAACTATTTACTGGTGCCTGCGGTGTTTAAATGCATAACTTTGCAAATACTGGAATTATTTCCGGATCCGTTTAAAAAATGGATTAAGCTTTTCTTCAGAAATCACAGAAGTCCTTTTGGCCAGGTGTCTGGACTGGGCTCATTGGCCGAGTACTTGGGTGTTCTCTCCCTCCCTTCTCTCTGAGAGTTGTTTGATCCTTAATGTGTTCAGATCCTTTTAATGTTACAGCCTCTTATTTACTTTGGAAAAGATAGAGTTATAAAAATGCATTACTTAGAAAATGAATGAGTTTGCCTAAAATTGGCCACCTGTCTCATTTTTATGGGATGTATTCTCTTTTCCTGAATAGGTAGTATCCACTGATCTTGCAGTCCTCAAAGCATATTTGTTTATTTTTCTTGATTAGTTTCCCTGAATAACATGAGGGGTTTTTCTTTGTTTCTGACAATATAGATACATAAAGAATAAAATGATTTTGAATTGACTGCCTGGATAGCCTCCATTGACATTGAGAGAAAAATTCAAGTAATACAGTATATGTTTGTTTAGAAAATCTGACCGGTTCAGAAAAATATAAAATAAAAAGCATTCACCTCCCTTACCCAGTCCTTGTCCTCAACGATAACTGCTATTAGCAGTTTGTTATAGTTCTTTCCAGAAAAAGTAGTTTAGCAAATGTTTACAGCATATATAAAAGAGTAAAACAAATACATTGAACACTCAGTATTTGCCAGACATTTTACATGTTTTTCATTCAGTCTCCACAGTAGCTCACAAAACTGTTTATATTCCCCATTTTACAGATGAAGGAAGAAGCCAGAGTTTAAAGACATTAAGTTACTGGCCCCAAATGCCACAGTGGGCACATGGCGGAGGGGTAATTCAAATATAGATCTGATTGACTCCAGTGTTGACCTTGTTTTTCAAGAGCCCCCAAACAGGGTACAACTTGACATTATACTGAAAGATATGCTCGCTGAGAAAAGCGGGTTACAACAGGTTCATTTGCTCTAGTTCCCACCTGATTGGTGTGTAAGGCTTGTGCAGTCTGCTTTAGTAGGTGCAGAGATAGTTTTCATGACCTTATTATAAACATGTTCGAGTAAATCTTACTTGTGGGAAGTCAGTGCTGGGTCTCAGTGGGCCAAGGTGTATTACATAGCAGTGATAATTAAAAGAGCTTAGAAACCTTCCATTTGCTAGATAGGCTTCAACCATTTCTCTTATTGATTAAAAATAAGGTTATCTTTGAGCATTTAGTCCTCAATAATCTAAATGAAATTGTATTGTGTCCATCCTCATTCTACCCTACTCCTTGCAGAATAATGGTATACTTTTTAAATTTATTTATAGGCCATGACTTGAACTATCTTTTTGGGCGTGGGAGGGGCTGAGGGAGAGGAAGAGAGAGGAGCTACCCAGGCACCTCTTCAACCATCTTTTTTTTTTTTTTTTAAGAATTTATTTATTTATTTGACAGAGATCACCAGTAGGCAGAGAGGCAGGCAGAGAGAGAGAGGAGGAAGCAAGCTCCCTGCTGAGCAGAGAGCCCAATGCAGGACTCGATCCCAGGATGGGGAGATCATGACCTGAGCTGAAGGCAGAGGCTTAACCCACTGAGCCACTCAGGCACCCTTCAACCATCTTTTTGAAACTTTAGGATGGTAGTTCATTCACCAAAGAGCTTCCTTTCCACTGGCTCTTTTCCCTCAACCTACAAACAAGCTGAAATCTTTATTCTAGCATAATTCTTTCCCTCTGCTCTCTTTCCCATCATCACCCATCATCTATGTAGGTCAACCATCCTTGCTCACCTCCCCTCGTCTCCATCAGGGCCATATGGCATCTGCTGCCCCATGCTGCTGAGACTGCCCTCAGGACCTCTCCATGTCTAGTCACCTGTTTACAGTCTCAATATTATATGACCTTTCTGCAGTATTTCATATGGTTAACTACTGTATCGTTGACATTCATATCTTTTGTGACATTCATCTGTCGTTCCTTCTCTCTTACCACCTATCCTCACTTCCTTTTCCTAGGAGTTTTGGCATAGTAAGATATTTCACTTAACTGAATGTCATATATCTAAAAGAACAATAAGGAAATGCATCATATTTTTTACCAAAAATGGACAAAATTTTCTTTGAAGATACCTTTGCCACTTAAGTACCATAATTCCAGCTAAATTTCATTATGTTTGAAGAATTATAAAAGTTTGTTTTGTGAAAACTTTTTTATTTCACTGATATTTACAGATGAATTTTTTTAATGAGATATTTTCATTGATTTCCCACTGCTCTTCCTATTAAATGGGTTCATATTATTCTTAGTAAAACTTGAATATTGTCATGTTGATTTTAATATGAGTCAGCCTTTCCTGTTGTTAATTGATTTTGGCTTGTTGTTTAATTTCAGGCTACTCCAAAAATTAGATTTTCCCACTATGAAATTCTCACTCTATTTCTTGGCTTATGAGGAAAAGAATGACATCCCAAAAGATAAAGATGAAAAAATAGCATGGGTATTCTCCAGGAAAGCTACACTTGAACTGACACAGTGAGTATCAGTTTTTATCTTTCTGTATAGTCTGCATTTTTATAAACCTTTTTTCCTTACTTATAAGCTTAATTCAAACCAGGTCTGCCTAATCACTTTGCATTTGTAGCAGCTTGAGTCTTTAAGGTCTTCGTAATTCCAGCATTTTAGGAATGTTGTTTTATTCTTTATGTTGTTTCTGTGTCCTTTGGAACAACTAACCAAAGAGCATTTATTTCAGGATTTTTGATTTAATGTGTCCCTGATTCAAAACAGCTCTGGAATCAGACAGACCTAGACATGAGTGTTGGCTCTGATGAGACAGCTCTGTGACCCTGAACACGTTGTCTCCTCCTTTGGTGGCAGTCTCATTCATGAAATGGAGACTCAACTCTTAGCCCATGGAGCTGTTTGGAAGATATTTTAATGAGATCAAATAAATAAATAGATCAAATAGATTCAATAGATCTGTTTGATCAAATAGATGAAATCAAATAAATAAATAGCCTCTATAAAGTATAATAAATGACAGTTGCTACTGTTATTGTTGTTATCCAGATGCCTGGTTTTATTGTCTCCTTAGTTTAATTAAAATCATATTTTCCCATTTGCCTTTTCTATAGTTGAAACCTAAATATTTACAGTAGCAAAGATGAAACCAAGCATATGAAGTTGCATACATACATGCCAAGATTTCAAAGAGATTATTGCAGCAGAATATCTGTTCTACAGGTCACTTGTAATTCTGTTTTCCCTCCTTTTGTAGCAATTGGGGTACAGAAGATGATGAGACCCAGAGTTACCACAGTGGCAACTCAGACCCTCGAGGATTCGGTATGTTGGCCTGTTCCCGTGTTGTATACATGGATTTGTATGATTTGTGCGTTGGGCACTTATTAAGAATAATCAGCTTCTTCGTGTGGTATTGTCTTTCTGTGACTGACTGGTTTCTCATGGCATTGTGCTTGTAGATCTTTGTCCATGTTGTTGCAAATGGCAGAATTTCACTTTTCCATTGTATGTATATGTATTAATATTGATGGACAATTGGGTTATTTCCAAAATTTGGCTGTTGTAAGTAATTTTACAATAAACATAAGGGTACATATGTGTTTTTGGAAAAAAGAATAATCAACCGCTTAGGAGTATGGCTGTTTTATTTTTCCATAAAAATTTTATTTAGGAGTTAATTTCATAGTCTCCATCTAAACCCTACATTTACTCTCACAATGATTTCACTTCTCAGTCTCAGGAGTATATTTCCAGTAGATTTTTTAATTTAAAAAACTAAAACCAAGGTTGCTAATAATCCCCCTTTCTGTTAGCATACACTTCTGCCCTGATCTAGAATCTCTCAGTCAAGATAACAGGATTGCAGACTTAAATTGGCTGCTATATAGTCAGTGGCCCCAGCAAACCTATTAAATATGAGTAAATGACTACTCTTTCTCCATAGTTATTCTTAACAGATTGAACTATACATGAGCCCAATATTGGGCTTATTTGAGATAATGTATAAGTCCGAGCTACTAATTAGCTTATTATACGCAGCCAGTTAGACTTAGAGTCTTGTTTTTTAATACAAGTTTTGAACTTTATTTGATTCAGTCAGTTTTCAGGTGCCTTATGTTTTGAAACAAACTTGTTTTGGGAGCTAGTTGTGGCCCTTGGATACCCTGCAGTAATTGTTTCTTCCTTCTGCCCACCTTGTTTGGGGGTGGCCACCGAAGGTCACATTGGAATTGCTGTTCCTGACGTACATGGTGCTTGTAAAAGATTTGAAGAACTGGGAGTCAAATTTGTGAAGAGACCTGACGATGGTAAGTCTGCTGCTTGCTTTCTCCCGGCCTCTCCTCAGTTAACTAATGTACATGAAGCAACCACAGAGAGTACTGTTGTAGTAGATCCTTCTGCTTGCAAGTAACTTTGAGGAAGTCTGCTTCAGCCAGCTTAAGGAAAACAAAAGAATTCTTGGAAAAATACCTGGGTATCTTAGGGAACTAAAACAGCAAGTAGGGTGGCTTCACAGGGGACTAGACACAGAAACCTGGGCTCTCTCCCCACACTTTGACCTTACCATATTCTCTCACTGGCCACTGATTCTCACTATTTCAGGGTGTACCTAGCCACCCCAAAATAAGTTCCTTAAGGCCCATGTTAATCTGATTTTAATATAAATACACCACATCTCCTTAGTAAATGGCTGGTCTTTCATTTTTATTCTTCTATAACCATTGCATGTCCTTATGTTTTAGGTATCTGTCTAGAAATAGTAATGTACATATCTAGATTTTGTTGGATTTATATATATTGTAACTATTTTACTTAGATCTGTTTCTGCCAGCATGTTAATTCAATTTTTATTTGAAACATTTCACATTTCATTTTAATCCTTTTTTTTTTCAATTAAGAGATTTGGTATCCAGGGATGCCTGGGTTGCTCAATCGTTCAGTGTCTGCCTCCGGCTTGGGACGTGATCCCAGGATGCTGGGATCGAGCCCCGCATCAGGCTCCCTGCTCAGCGGCAAGCCTGCTTCTCCCTCTCCCACTCCCCCTGCTTGTGTTTCCTCTCTTTCTGTGTCTCTCTCTGTCAAATAAATAGATAAAATCTTAAAAAAAAAAAAAAAAAAAGAGAGATTTGTTATCCAGATACCCTCCCAGACCAGGATATTACTGATTTATTTTTCCTTTTTATTTGGCCTTGGCTTTTATTTATTTATTTCATATTTTTAAGTTATCTTTGCACCCAGCCTGGGGCTCAGTCTTAAAATCCTGAGATCAAGAGTTGCATGCTCTACCAACTGAGCCAGTCAGGTACCCCCTGGCCTTGGCTTTTTTTTTTTTTTTTTTTTTCCCTTTAATATATATATCAAAGTCCTTTTCTCTGTGTAGCTCTTACAGCATCTTTTGGGTTTTTCTGTCCCTCTGTTAAGTATCTCAACCAAAACTGTTTTCAGAGGGTTTTTTGTGAGGCAAAACTTTTGAAGCTTTGTAAGCCTCAGACCCATATCTTTGTATCTGAATGACAGTTTTATTGAATATAAAATCTTAGGTTCATTTTCTTTTGATCTTGAAAATACAACTCCATGATCTTATTTTTCTATCCAGTGTTGCTATTGAAAAATCGGCTGACTCAGGTTATCTTCTGTTTTGCTCTGGATGCTTTTGTTATATTTGTTATTTCTTTTTTCTTATTCTAGGAGATTTCCTCACACTAGCATACCAGTTAGCTAATCTTTCCTCTTTTTCCTGTCCGTTCTGATAGTCATCTTTTGTGTTCTCATCTATTGTATTCTGAATTTCAGCTATAATGATTTTGATCCCGAGTTTTTCCTCAGTTCCTTAAACATTTTCTTGTTCTTGTTTCGTATTGATAATAGTTCATACCGTTCATCACTTTTACATGTTTTAATAGCTCTTGGGCCGTTGGTTTAATATTTGTTCTTCTATTTGAATCTGTCATCCACTGTTTGTTTAATGGTTATGTTCCTCAAAGTCTTGTACTTTGATACCTGAGGAGTTGTTGTCATTGCAACTATTACTATTCCGGTGCATCAGGCAGTGTGAATGGGGGGAGGCTAGACCCCAGTCTTTAACAGCCCCCATGCTCTCAGGAAGATGGGCCCCGCAGAGATCCCTAGGCACCTGACAAGAGTTAAATCCTTGCATTCTGCACAACAGCTCTTCAGTCACATCTTCCTCCCCTCTGTCCCTCAGAGAGGAAGCAGGAGACCCTTCTTCTGAGGTGGTCATTCCCTAACTGTGATTGTGTGGAAAGTGGAGGCTGGGAAGATCAGTTGGTTTTCACCTGTTTCTGTCAGTTTCTCCAGGGCATAAGTCTTCTGTCTTACCCTTATTTACTCCTGAGGGCATCTGAACCTGTCGTTTGAACCTCCCCTAATGTGGGGGCAGGAGCTGATGCCCAAGACACTGGGAGGAGCAAGAGCCAAGCTAACAAAACCCCTTCTGTTTATTCTCCCACAGCCATGATGGACTGCCTTCTGGTCCAGGCCAAAACGATCCATTTCCACATGGACCAGATTAAAACACTTACCCCAACCCACTTCTTCCTCTCCCCAGTCACCACCCTAGTTCTCACTTTTTTTTCCTCCCATTTTCCATATATGTTCCTATGGGGTTGATCTTGGGAAAAAGAGCCAGAGAGAGATGGGAGTCAGACTAATTTAGCATCTTGGTCCCAGAATAGTTGCTGAGGTCACATTTTTCCATTTAAGCAAACAACTCTACTGTTAGGCCAACTAGCCTCTCAATCCCAGTTATGAATTCCTAGGAGAAAGACCGACAGAGCTTGAGTGACCTAGAATAGTGTTTAAAGAAGTCATTAGGACCCAAGCCTCTGGGTCTTTCGGCTGTGTGGGTATGCCATGCTACCTGCTCAAACACCTGTTTTCTTTTCCTCTTTAAAGTAAAACAATCTTGGGATGCCTGGGTTGCTCATTCAATTAAGCTTCTGACTCTTGGTTTGGGCTTAGGTCATGATCTCAGAGTCCTGGGATTGAGCCCCACATTCGGCTCTGTGCTCAGCATGGAGTCTGCTTAAGATCTCCCTCTCCCACTGCCCCTCCCCTGCTTACGCACTCTGTCTCTCAAATAATAAATAAAATCTTTTATTTTATTTACATATTTGACAGAGAGAGAACACAAGCAGGCGGAGTAGCAGGCAGAGGGAGAGGCAGAAGCAGGCTTCCTGCTGAGTAAGGAGCCTGACACTAGGCTTGATCCCAGCACCCTGGGATCATGACCTGAGTCAAAGGCAGTTGCTTAACCAACTGAGCCACCCAGGTGCTCCTCAAATAATAAATAAAATCTTAATAAAATAAGACAATCTCTGTGATTACTCAACGGGTAGCATGAACTGTATCATGAAGGTGAAGTAAAAATCTGGTGCCTAAAACTGCAGCCAGTTACAGAGTTTATTTCAGGAGAGTTGGTTCCCAGCTGTGTGTAGAATGTAACTATGTTAGTCATTCTGAAATGCATGCATTTGGGCAAAGCTGACAATAGAATTGTCTAAAATTAAAACTATAAGCAAAATAATGTACTTTTTAAAATGCAAATTAAAATTTGGATTAATAAAAAATGTTCTTAATTATAAATTTTTAAAAAGTCTCTTTTATAATTAAATTCATTTCATCTTACAGGTAAAATGAAAGGCCTGGCATTTATTCAAGATCCCGATGGCTACTGGATTGAAATTTTGAATCCTAACAAAATGACAACTATTATTTAGTTCTGTGAGAATACTGCTTTGTGATTTCAGTGAAGACCTTGTGGGAGGTAAAAAAGGAAATGGTGTAATTCAAGATAGACAACAGAAACATCTAGGACTGAAGAATCATTGTCCCAATTCAGATTATTCTGAAGTCCATTCCTCTTTTCTATTTCAGCCTGTTTTTCACCTAATAATTCAGTCATTGTGGTTTTAAAGTAGTGCTTTGTCTTATGTCCTTGAATGTAGTTAAATAACTTTACTTTTTTATGTAATAATTAGAACAGTTCCCTTCAGAGGCTGCATTTGCCTTCTTTCTCCTATATATGATTTCTCAACAAGTCTGCCTTTGAATCATCATTCTCCAAAAAAAAAAAAAAATTAACAAGTTTTTGTTGTGTTTACCTTCTGGGGTTTCAGTTCCTCAGAAATACCTTTTCACAACGAAAAGTAAAGAACACTGAACAAAAATGAAACTTCATGTATACTTCAAGTAGTATAAAGTGTTTATTTCACAAAAGAGAAGGTAGTCTTGGGAGCAAGTCAGAATCAGACTGACAAGGATGATGATAGAAAAGCTAATTTCTTCTTACTTACAAAGTACTTTCTAAGCTCAAGGACTAACCTCTTTATTTGGGGATGGGGCGGTAGATGGGAAGAATATTTACTGGTGTGCAGAGACTGGGCTAGGCTGTCACTGTATCTCATTGAATCCTCCCAGCTATCCTCTATCCTGTGAGAAAGAAGGCAGGCTAGACATGGAAAATAACTTTAATGAATTAAGGCAGTATTATAAATGGGCTCAAGTACTTGAGACCTGATTCTCATTTTTAGTATTAAGATTGTACTTCAAAAATTAGTACCTCACAAGACCTCCTCCACTCACCTCTGCTGTGAAAACCGTCATTGAGTTTGAATGTTGTCCTCTCAGCATTGGGGCCTGAGCACCAGGATGAGGGAAGGAGCGGCAGAGGAAGTCTGTAGTACACGGCGGTTCTGGGGACACCTGCTTATCCCTGGGCAAGCCATGCCTGTGTTACTTCATTACTCGAAGAGCCCCTACCCCAAGGTCTTTCTGATGTCAGTAATCATTTAGGATAAATGATGTTCAGCAAAACCATTACTTAGTTATCAGGAATCAGCTCAGTGGTCTTCCTTGCCATGATTGATATTTGATGGGTTTTAAAAAATCAAACCGATTTTGACAATCTCATGGCCCAGGGAAACAAAAACATCTGGTTAGTGGTTTACCTAACATTTAGATTTTCTGTAGACTCTAGCAGAAGACCTTTGGATAGGCTGTGCTGACTGCTGTTTCCACTGCTAGAAGCACTTGACATTTCCTTTTTGGGTGGAATGGATTATGTGAGCAATTCAAACAAAGAGCAGTACTTACAGACTGAAAGAAAATAAAATTTCAGATAAGACTGTGTTTAATTTGTGAACTGACCAGCAAATTCTTTTTAAAAAGGCCGGCAGTGGGGCACCTGGGTGGCTTAGTTGGTTGGGCATCCGACTCTGGGTTTCAGCTCAGGTTCTGAGCTCATGGGCCCTGGGCTTGAGCCCCAGGTGACCTCCACACACAGTGGGGCGTCTGCTTGAAGATTCTTTCCCTCTGCCCCTCCCCCTACTTTCATATGCCCCTCCCCTTTCTCTATCTCATACATAAATCTTGAGAAAGAAAAAGAAAAAAAGCCTGCAATGATTTGAAAGGGCTTGCAGGTTCATCTGAGCTGGAAAACTGTAATTCTGTCTGTCCTGCAAAGCAGATAGTTTCTATGGATAAGTAAGTGTGGAAAAGGTGGGAAGAGTAAATAAGGATAAAGGAATATGGTAGAAAAGGTACAAAGAAGAAAGTCCAAATATCAAAAGGTGAGTTGTGGGAACCAGTGAAGACCAGTTTCACACGCTAGGTACTGGAATTATCAAATGGGAAGGTGATTAGATTCATAAATCTTTTAAACCTTATTTCTGTGGGAAAAAAGCTTTCTCTACTTGCTAAGTAAAAATGTGTCAAAAGACAGGCCTTGCTTATTCCTTAAATTCATCTCTGTGTGCATTGAAAGGATGTATATTCTATCACCAGGTGCGGGACTAGGACAAATTACTTATTTCCCAATTAACTTATCCAGAAGTAGTGATATGAAAGAGTGCAGGAGAGCACAAGGTTTTCTCGTTTTCCACGACCGGACCACAAGATGGGAGCTTACTGTCAATGTAAAATCAGTCTCCCGTGAGCCCTTCACAGCTAAGCCTGGGACTCAGTTACAATATGGTGGTTTGAATGAGGCGCTGATGGCTGAGAGAATTACTGTGGCTTCCTTACGTCGCAGTCTGAGCAGGACTGCATACAGTGTGTACACATACTTAGCAACACAACTGCTTGTGAAAAGGGTTATATTAGGACGCTTGCTGCTGGTCATGAGAAAAGACCCAATTCTACGGGTTCGTAGAGGGTTCAGAGATCTCAAGAACCTTGGTTTCCTTCCCACCCTGTCATTCTCAGCATTTTCTTTCTGGGCTAATAATGCTCATGATCAGAGATGCCTACCATGATTTCCAGGTGTCATGAATAATCCAACAATGCCCAGTGAAAGAAAAGAACATTTGTTCCTCCTGTGCTTTTAGGGACTATAAAAGCCTTCCCAACATTGGTTCACTTGCCCATGTCTAATCACTGGCACAGGGAATGAGACCACTCTGGCTTAAAGAGGTCATATTTACTCTAGTTGCCTGCCTGAGGGTGGGCACTGGATCAGAACTGAGACTGCTAAAATGGAGGAGCAAACAAGGGCTTCTGAGCAGGCATAAATAGACTGCAACAAGGTGAAATGAAATGTTGAGAACCTGGAAGAAACCAGACATTTTCTGCCCTTGAAGAGCTTGGTCAAATATTGGGGTTCTCAACCTATCAGGTTTAGCAGACCCTTTTTACTACAAGATGGGAATATTCGTAACCTCGATCATACCCACTATCCTAAAATGAAATTCATACATAACTCACCCATATATGCAATTTCAGAAAGGGTCAGTCCAGTGCCTTTACTGTAATGTAGAGTAGAGATGAAATCAATTTGTAATAAAACATGCATTTCAATATATAAATGCCCAGATACTACTACACTAGAAAACAATGAAATAGGTGTTTGCTCTTAAATACAGAAGTAAAACTGCTCAGTCGAGTACTGTTAATGCCGCTGGATATTTTAAAGACGGAATTCATGTTTCCTGAAGAGCTATAAGGTTACATATAGTGCGTACTGGTAACAGGTATGTTTTACTGGCCACTCAAAACACCTGAATAGCATTTACTGTTGAAAATGTCCTTTTCCAAAATGGCAATCAAATTCTTACTGACGTTTTGAAGAAAAGAACAGTATTCCTTCTGTTAGCAGGACAGTTTGTCCGTAGTGAATATTAAAATTATGTAAGTAACAAAATAGGTGTTCTAGGCTCAGATAATAAAAAGGTGGCTTTATAATAATTTTATTGAAATAATATTGACATTGTATAAGTTTAATGTGTACATTTGATACATTTATATATTGAAATATGATTACTAGAGTTAACACCTCTATCATGTCTCATAAATACCATTTCTTTTGGGGTACCTGGGTGGCTCAGTTGGCTAAGCGTTTGACTTGGTTTCAGCTTGGGTTGTGAGCTCAGGGTGAGATCTAGCCCCGTGTCCGGCTCTATGTTCAGCGGGGAGTCTATTTGAGATGATCTTCCTCTCCCTCCACCCTCCCCGACTTGCATGTGTACACCTTCTCTCTCTCTCGCTCTAATAATCCTAAAAAAATTTTTTTTGTGGGAACAGTTAAGATCTAGTCTCTTAGTGACTCTGAAGTTTATAATATAATATTGTTGCCTGTAATCCAGAACTTACCTACTAGTTGAAAATTGTAGTTTACATTTTTAAAAATTTTTAAATAGTTTTAGGTTTATAGAAATGATGCTAAGTTTCCATATAGCTCAGACCCAGTTTCCTTTATTTTTAAAATCTTACATTAGTATGCTATATTTGTTACCACTAATGAAACTACACTGATGCATTATTATTAATCAAAGTCTGCACTTTATTCAAATTTTCTTAGTTTTAAGCTACTTTCCTTTGTCTGTTATAGGATCCCATCCAGGATACCACATTCTATTTAGTTGTCAGTTCTTAGACTCCTGTAGATCACTCCTGTGATCTTTTGTAGACTTTCCTTGTTTTCCTTATTCTTTGGTTGTTTTGAGGAGTGCTGACTAGTCAGTGTTTCTCAGTTGGGATTTTATTAATATGAATTTTTTTTATCATGATGAAACTGGGATTATGGTTTTTTAGGAGAAAGTCTATAGAGGTAAAGTGACCTTCTCATCACATCTGATCAAAGTGCACATTACCAACACGATGTATCACTGATGATGGAAATCTTGATTACTTGGCTGAGGTGACTTTTGTTTTTTCTCCACTAATGAACACTGATCATTCTGCAGCTCTTACATCACATGAGACCATGGGAAACTAAGCCCTGAGGTTTATATATGGTCCCACCTATTATGAGGTTAATCTCCACCTACCCCCTTTCAATACTGTGCTCTGAGAGGAAGTCAGTTATGTGAAGCTCACCTTCTTGAGGGGAAAAGCAAGCTTTTACCTATATGAATACTCTGACTTTCCAAAGTTGTGCAGACCCTGACAGGATGTCTTAAAACCCTGTCCCTGGTCCACTAAGGACCAGTTGTGAAGCCCAGCCAAAAATGCCCCCAAGAGTTTCCAAAACTACCCATAGGAGTCAGTAATGCCCTATGAAGAACCACTGGTCTAAGATCTCAAATCCTAGTTTCTTTAAAGTGGAGTGTGAACTTAAAGCATTTGCAAAGGAATCTAAATTCAGAATCCAGTTTCATGGTTTCCTCCTTATTTACATGTTTGGTTTTTTTTGCCTCTAATTCAGGTACAATTTATTTTAGCTATTTGTCTTTGAGAGTTCTTTAGAACATTCAACTTTCCTTTTACATAAACTTTGTTGCTTATATTCATTTTGTATTTTATTTAAAATTAATTATTTTATTTTATTTAAAAGTATTTTAATTTATTTAATAATAAAATAATAATAATAAATAATAAAAATATTTTATTTAAAATTAATTTATTTCAGAGAGCACATGTGAGAAGGGGGAGGGGCAGAGAGGAAGAAAAAGAATCTCAAGCAGACTCTGCGCTGAGTGCAGAGCCGCATGTGGGGCTTGATCCCAGAGATGACCTGAGCTGAAATCAAGAGTCGGTTGCCTAACCTACTGAGCCACTCAGATGCCCCTGTATTTTAAATTGAAGTCCAAAATTGGACCACAAATCTATGGTACATGGGAGCACCAGCGCCACCCTGTGTTTATTTGAGAAAGTGCTAGTCAATACATTATGGAAAACCAACACAGTGTAATCATCTCACCAGTATACTGAACAGCCTCACTTCTCCCAAGGGTGGTCCCTGGGACCTGAAGCATCAGCATCACTGGACAGCTAGTTAAAAATTAAGATCTTCAGGGGCGCCTGGGTGGCTCAGTGGGTTAAGCCTCTGCCTTCGGCTCAGGTCATGATCCCAGGGTCCTGGGATCGAGCCCCGCATCGGGCTCTCTGCTCAGCAGCGAGCCTGCTTCCCTTCCTCTCTCTCTCTCTGCCTGCCTCTCTGCCTACTTCTGATCTCTGTCTATCAAATAAATAAATAAAATCTTTAAAAAAAAAAAATTAAGATCTTCAGGCTTCACCTGAATGAGAGCCTTATTTTCAAAGGATCTCCAAGCAATTAGCATATAGAATGTATGAGAAGCACTATTATACAGACTCCTTTCTAAAGCCACTAACATCAGAGAATTATATTCCCCAAAATATGAATTATTTTCTCCCACTATTATAAATATAGTAAAACATTCATTATTTGTAGCAATGAATGTAAGGAATGTAAGGAATGTGTATCTAATTTACAAACTCAGAGGTATAAGAAATAGAGTTTTTATTCTAACTGCACATAATTTAAAGGCCCCATTTTCTGAGGGGGTAGGTAGAAACTAAATAAATTCCGGATCTCTCCTGCTGCTTTTCTCTGAGGTAAAATATTAAGTTCCTGTAATGTCTAGAAGGTTGGAGGAATGTGAGCATCTGATCTTCCACAGGAGAACCATTCTGTTGGCCTTTGCTGAAATGCCAAGTCTCCTATTTGGTCCTTTGTTACAGATCTATGGGCTTGCTGTTAGACCATCCTTCATTCTGGTCTGTCACCTCCCTTGCTACTTCATTCTGCTATTTCCATGCCATGTCAGCTGTTTCCATTCTGCTATTTCCATGTTATGTCAAGGAACTCTTTGGGCCTAAGAGTTCTCCTCTATAATGTTTACCCAGGGAACACTGATCATTCTGCAGCTCTTACATCACATGAGACCATGGGAAATTA